CTTCACTTCTGAAGCTCAATTTGGCTGGATATGAAATTCTGGGTTGCAAGTTCTTTTCTTTAAGAATGTTGAATATTGGCCCCCACTCTCTTCTGGCTTGTAGTGTTTCTGCCGAGAGATCTGCTGTGAGTCTGATGGGCTTCCCTTTGTGGGTGACCCGACCTTTCTCTCTGGCTGCCCTTAGTATTTTCTCCTTCATTTCAACCTTGTTGAATCTGACGATTATGTGCCTTGGGGTTGCTCTTCTTGTGGAATATCTTTGTGGTGTTCTCTGTATTTCCTGCATTTGAGTGTTGACCTGTCTTACTAGGTGGGCGAAATTTTCCTGGATGATGTCCTGAAGAGTATTTTCCAGCTTGGATTCATTCTCTTCGTCCCCTTCTGGTACACCTATCAAACGTAGGTTAGGTCTTTTCACATAGTCCCACATTTCTTGGAGACTTTGTTCATTCTTTTTTGCGCTTTTTTCTCTAATCTTGGTTTCTCGTTTTATTTCATTGAGTTGGTCTTCGACTTCAGATATTCTTTCTTCTGCTTGGTCAATTCGGCTATTGAAACTTGTGCATGCTTTGCGAAGTTCTCGTATTGTGTTTTTCAGCTCCTTTAATTCATTCATATTCCTCTCTTAAGTTATCCATTCTTGTTATCATTTCCTCGAATCTTTTTTCAAATCTTTTTTCAAGGTTCTTAGTTTCTTTGCATTGATTTAATACATGATCTTTTAGCTCACAAAAGTTTCTCATTATCCATCTTCTGAAGTCTAATTCCGTCATTTCGTCACAGTCATTCTCCGTCCAGCTTTGTTCCCTTGCTGGTGAGGAGTTTTGGTCCTTTCTAGGAGGCGGTGTGTTCTGGTTTCGGGTGTTTTCCTCCTTTTTGCGCTGGTTTCTTCCCATCTTTGTGGATTTGTCCGCTGGTCGTCTGCGTAGTTGCTGACTTTTCGATTGGGTCTCTGAGTGGACGCCCAGATTGTTGATGATGAAGTATTTCTGTTGCTTGGTTTTCCTTCTACCAGTCTAGCCCCTCCACTGTACGACTGCTGAGGTCCACTCCAGGCCCTGCTTGTCTGGGATGCACCTATAGCAGCTGCGGAACAGTGAGGGATGCTACCAGTTTCTTTTTCTGCTATCTTTGTCCCAGGATGATGGCTGCCTAATGTCAGTCTTTTGGATATAGAGGGGTCAGGGAGCTGCTTGAGGAGACAGTTTGTACTTTATAGGGGCTTACTTGCTGAGCTGTGAGCTCTGTTGTTCATTCAGGGCTGTTAGGCTGCTATGTTTGATTCTGCTGCAACAGAGCTCATTAAAAAAAACCCTTTTTTTTCTCAAATGCTCTGTGTTGAGGGGTTTGGGCTTTATTTTTGGATGTCCGTTGAGGTCCTGCCCAGCTAGGACACAGACTAGCCACTGTTTGCCTGCTGAGGCTCCGCCCTGCTGTTGTGATGCTCGCCCTGGCTCTGCTGTTCTGCTGTTCTCCGCCACGCCCTGCGGCGGAGTCTCTCTGTTGTAGCGGGTTGCCTCAGCAACGGCAGGCTGAGTCAGCAGTGGGCGTGTATCTCAGTAGGGACGGGTTGCCTCGGCAACGGCTGGCTGCGTCAGCAGTGGGCGTGTATCTCAGTAGGGACAGGTTGCCTCGGCAACGGCTGGCTGCGTCAGCAATGGGCGTGTATCTCAGTTGGGGCAGGTTGCCTTGGTAATGGTGGCCGCCCCTCCCCCTCAGAGCGTCTCGGGCCGTCTGCACGGGCCTTGTTTGAAATCGCGGTTTTGTTCGTCCCACTGGGCCAACCCTAATGCTCTGTCCCGGCAATCCCCTGGGCTGGCCTACTGTCCAAGTCTAGCTCAGTCTCAAGTCCAGCCCTCTCACGTCTCCGGTTGTCGGTTCAACGGGGCACCGGGACAAGCGTGCCCTGTGGGGTGCGCTGGGTAGGTCCGGCCACCGCTGCCCCGGCTGCCGGCTTCGCCAGGTGGAATATCTGCCTGGCGTCCCGCGTCTCCTCTTCACTTGGGAATTTCCCCGTTCCGTGGGCAACAAAGATCAGTCTGGAAATGCAGCTCAGACTCACCTCTCCGCGGACACAACGAGAACTCCAATCCTGGGTTGTTCTCACAGCGCCATCTTGAGTCCTCCCCGATTACTGTATTTTCAATCCACATTTGGTTGAAAAAATATTTGCGTCTAAGTATTAGAAGCGTGAAATTTAGACCCATGTCATTCAAGGGTCAACTCTAAAGCATATGGCATAGAATACAGCACCTGAAAGAATAAATGGGACTCTCTACTAATATGGAAATATGTCTAAAACATTGATTAATAGAATAAAATAATAGTGAATGAAAACAGCATTTCCATATATTAGATTAGCATATAAATTTAAAGGAAAAATCTGGTAAGGTATGCACCAAACTGATAATAGGAAAGGCAGCTGGAATTTGAGTGGTTAGGAGTCCTAAAAGGAACTTTACTTTTTTATTGGACTAAAATTCACATAACATAAAATTCACCATTTTAAATTGTACCAGTCAGTGACGTTTGGAAATTCACAGTGTTGTACAACCATCACCACTGTATAGTTCCAGAACATTTTCATCACCCAGCCCTCTACCTGGTAAGCAGTCATTCCCCATTTATTCCTCCCCACCACCGTCCGGCAATCACTGATCTGCTTTCTCTCTCTATGGATTTAGCAATTCCGGATATTTCTTACAGAATCATACACTGTGTGGCCTTTTGTATCTGGTTTCTGTTACTTAACATATTGTTTTTAATTTTTCATTCATGTTGTAGGATATGCCAGTTCTTCATTTCTTTTTATGGCTGAGTAATATTCCATTACACACACACACACACACACACACACACACACACTATATATATATATATATGTTTTTATAATTCATCAGTTCATGGGCCCATAGGTTGTTTCTATCATCTGGCTATTGTGAAGAGTGCTGCAAAGAACATCAACATACAGTATCTGTTTGAGTCCTTACTTTCAGTTCCTTTGGGTATATACTTAGGAGTGGAATTGCAGCATCATATGGTAATCCAGTTAACCTTTTTGAGATACCAAGGGACATTACATTTTGAATGAAAAAATATGCTACTTGGCTGGGAAAAGTGGCTCATACCTGTAATCCCAGCACTTTGGGAAGCCAAGGGGGTGATAGTTGTTTGAGGCCAGGAGTTTGAGATGAGCCTGAGAAACATAGCAGGACCCACCTCTACAAAAAAAAAAAATATTGCCAGGCATGTTTGAATATGCCTGTAATCCCAGCTACTTGGGAGACTGAGTTGGGAGGATCACTTGAGCCCAGGACATCAAGGCTGCAGTGAGGTAAGCCATGATCATGCCGCTGCACTCCAGCCTGGGCAACAGAGAAAGACCCTGTCTCTTAAGATAAATATATATATAAGCTTAAAAAATAAAAACAGAGGCTGGATGCAGTGGCTCACACCTGTAATCCACACACTTTGGGAGGCCAAGGCGGGCTATTCACCTGAGGTTGGGAGTTCGAGACCATCCTGGCCAACATGGCAAAACGCTGTCTCTACTGAAAAATACAAAAATAAGCCAGGCACCATGGCAGGCACCTGTAGCCCCAGCTACTCGGGAGGCTGACTCACGAGAATCACTTGAACCTGGGAGTTGGAGGTTGTAGTGAGCCAAGATTGTGCCACTGCACTCTAGCCTGAGTGGCAGAGTGAGACTCTGTCTCAAAAAATAAATAAATAAATAAATAAAAACTGAAAATATGAAAGTAAAAAATTAGAAAATTATTTAAAATTTGAAGTGGACTTAAAAGTATTTAGAAAATAAAAACTTACCTATACGGTAACTCCGAGAGATAAATTACTGGTACTTTTGGAATATATTCTTCCAGTATTTAAGTTTTTGTCTTAAAAAAAAAATGCATGAATTTAATTTCCAGGTATAGAGAGATGAAAATTGTGGGTTCTTTTTATTTTTCTTTCTCAATCTTAATTACCTCCCTTTGAGGGTTAAAATCTTTTTGTGACTATTATTCTATTTTTCTGTGTTAGAAACCATTTTTTCAAAACCTAATATCATGTAATACTAATTGGTCTGTGAATCACTTTATTTAACAGTACATCTTGCCTGTTGTTCTAATCAGTTTATATAGATCTCTGCTTCATTTTTTAACAGATACATGATATTCTATGGTATTAATATATCATAATTGTTTTCTATTCTCCACTTTTTTTTTTTTTTTTTTTTTTGGGACAAAGATCCTCTCTTGTTGCCCAGGCTATAGTGCATTGGTGCGATCTCGACTCGCCGCAACCTCCGCCTCCCCAGATTCAAGCAATTCTTCTGCCTCAGCCTCCGGAGTAGCTGGGATTACGGACATGTGCCACCACGCCCAGCTAATTTTGTATTTTTAGTAGAGGGGATTTCTCTATGTTGGTCAGGCTGGTCTCCAACTCCCAACCTCAGGTGATCCCCCTGCCTCGGCCTCCCAAAGTGCTGAGATTGCTATTCTCCACTCTTAAAGGGTATTCCCATTCTTTAAAGTAGTGGTTCTCAAACATTAGCATGTATTAGAATGACTTTGGGACTTTTCACAACTAATTGCTGGGCCTTATGCCCCAACATTTCTGATTCATAGGTCAAGGGTGAGCCTGAGAATTTGTATTTCTAACCAGTGTCTTTACTATGCTGTTGTCTGGGGACTGTACTTTGAGAGAAACATTGTTTTAAAAGATGGTGAACCTGCTTACAGTGAATGATTACTATTTGGTGCAGGTGAAAAACACAGTGAACAGGGAAAAATACAGTGTACTTATGTGAGAAAGTACACTGTATGTATTTCATATATATATATGTGTGTATATATATATATGAAAATGAGAAAAATACTTGGAAGAGGGATCAAAGAATGCTGGTGAACTTGTGTTTCATTTTCTGTATTTTAGAGCGCTTTTATTTATGGTGAACTGTGTGTGTGTGTGTTTTTAATTGGTATACCCATCTGTGGCAGGTTGGAAGATAGGATCACCATTCAGCAAAATGAAGTTTCTGAAGATGGAGTCTCGAATACTGTGGACCAACTTAGTCACATTCATATGGGTAAGCATCATTGCATTAGCCTAATGACTTTCTGGAAGATTGTTAATGATTGTTAACATTAACCTGTTTTATTTGGGAAATAAATAAGAAAGCATTCAGCATCATTGCATTAGCCTAATGACTTCTGGAAGATTGTTAATGATTGTTAACATCAACCTGTCTTATTTGAATAATATATAAAAAAGCATTCCTTCTCATTCATCTCAATCACTTAAAAAATATTGTAGGCATAGAGCACTGGACTATGCATTAATAAGTCTGGATTGTATGGCAACATGGCAGTGAAACTTTTTGGTCAGTTATTTTTATTGAGTATTCAAAAAGAAAAGAATAGAATTATTTGCCAAAGCCAAAGCCAAGCCAGTGTACTCAAGCCATTAAATAAATTGTCTTCTTTTTTAAGTAGTAGTGAAGTATAAGAAAGGTAGGCTGGGTACAATGGTTTACACCTGCAATCCCAGCACTTTGGGAGGCTTAGGTAGGAGGATCACTTGAGGCCAGAAGTTTGAGACCAGCCTGGACAACATAGCACTACTCTGTGTCTGAAAAGAATTTTTAAATTAGCCAAGCATGGAGGCCAGTAGTGCCAGCTGCTCAGGAGGCTGAGGTGAGCGGATTGCTTGAGGCCAGGAGTTCAAGACTGCAGCACAGTGGCACTGCACTCCAGCCAGGGCAATAGAGTGAGACCATGTCTCTTAAAAAGAAAAGAAAAAAGAATTTTTTTTGTCTAAACTATAGAAACAAAGATAAATTGGAACTAAATATGTATTTTTTTACATTTCTTTGGATTTGTGTCAATTTTTTTTCTTTTTGTTTGTATTTCTTGAGAGACAGTATCTCACTCTGTTGCCCAGGCTGGAGTATAGTGGCTTAATTATAACTCCCTGTAGCCTCAAAATCCTGGGCTTAAACAACCCTCACCTCATCATCCAGAGTAGCTGGGTCTACAGGCATGCACTGCTACACCCAGCTAATTTTATTTTTTGTGGAGATGAGTCTCACTTACTTGCTCAGGCTGGTTTTAAACTCCTGGCCTCAAGCAATCCTCCCACCTTGGCCTCCCCGACATCTGGGATTACAGTCATTAGCCACTATGCCCAGCCTCGTGAACTTTCAATATAATGGAAGTGTATAACAAGTTAAATCAACTCCCTGAAGATAAAACATTGTATCCTGTTAAAGATTATTCGGAAGGTAGTATACTGACACGTATATTTTGATTTTATTTTCCTGATATGCGGGGTTTTGCCTAGAATTTGTGTTACATACTATGACTTATCAGTATCATTTAGAACTTTAAGTACTGTATAGACTTATCACATAATCTCTCCTTTCTACCACAGAAACTGGAACCAGTGATTCCCAGCACTCTAAATGTGATGTAGATAAGTCTGTGCAACCAGAACCGTTTTTCCATAAGGTGGTTCATTCTGAACACTTGAACTTAGTCTCTCAAGTTCAATTAGTTCAGCGTTCACCAGAAGAGTTCTTTTCATTTCGATCTCACTCGCATTTACCACCAAAAAATACAAACAAGAACTCCTTGCTGATTGGACTTTCAACTGGTCTGTTTGATGCAAACAACCCAAAGGCAAGTATGGTCCTCAAATGGACAGTGTTCTCCATTTGATAACATGTATTATTGATTGTTTTTCTTTTATAGTGTAATACTGAGTTTTAATCTCTTAGCACAGACACAAACATATATCCGACAGAAACATCCCTCTTCTGAGCAAATGAATTGCAGTTGAGAGTATAACTAGGATGAAGACTATTTCATTGGCTTTCTGTTCAGGATTCTTTTTATAGAGTCTTTTACTGGAGCAAAAAGTCCCTTTATATACCTTCATGCACTATTGCTCTTTCCCACTACCCAACCTGACTTCCATTTTTAGTATGACACTAAGCTTAAACAATATATTTTAAATGGATAGAGATGCTGTATTGCCTAATTTGTATGTAAAAAGATTAATAGATATTTATATGCATTTCCTGGTAAAAGTTTTTCAGACCTCTTTTTCTCACTTGCTATTTTTTAATGTAGGTAACCAATTGTTTCTTATAAAAAATATCTCCACAGAAAATGTTGAAACACAGGTAAAAATAAGAAATCATATCATTTGTTATATTACTTTTCATATAATTTTTGCATATCCATAACTTTTTACCAAAATAAGATGTATACTCTTTATAGCCTTTTCTATTCAATATATATTATGATGTTATTGCAAATACCATTATTACAATATTGTGATGAAAATAACACTCTCACATACTCTCTTTATATTATCATAAATAACCACATTCCATTGGGCTGCTTATCATAGTCTTTTTACAAAGCTGTTTCTATTGTTATGCCTTTCCACTTTAATTTTTGTTATTGTAATCGCCTACACCTCTATCTTTGTACATAACCACAATTATTTCCATAAAATAAATTTCTATAAGTGGAATTCAGAAGTTTATATTGAATACCGCCTGATTTCCAGATAGTTTATAGTGCTGTCAATAGTATGTGAAAACACACCCATTTTTCTGTATGCCAAATGGCACCCACTATTATCATTTACTTAAAAATTGTCTATTTAACAAATGAGTAATGGTATTGATTAGTTTAAATTTATGTTTCTGTGTTTTACAAGTGAGGTTGGGCATTTTTTATTTATTTTAGTCTGTAAAGGGATGAATTGCCTGAATTCTTTAGTCCTGAACTATTTTTTAAATATGTCATTTTGGCCAGTCATGCTGGCTCATGCCTGTAATGTCAGCACTTTGGTAAGTTGAGGTGGGCGGATCACTTGAGGTCAGGAGTTCAAGACCAGCCTGGCCAACATGGCAAAACCCCACCTCTGCTAAAAATACAAAAATTAGCTGGGTGTGGTGGTGTTCGCCTGTAATCCCAGCTACTTTGGTGACTGAGGCAGGAGAATCACTTGAACCGGGGCGGTGGAGGTTGCAGTGAGCCAAGATTGTGCCATTGTACTCTTCCCTGGGCGACAGAGTGAGACTCTGTCTCAAATAAATAAATAAATAGTCATTTTGATTTTCAATTTAATTTTTCAACTGGATATACTTTTATTTTGTGACATATTTTCTTATGCTTATCTTAAATTTAGAGATTATTAAATTCCCTCATTTATCTAATGGCAGTCAGTCTTTTGAAAGGTGTGAACTACCAAAACAAATTTATGATCTTCAGAGTCAGAGAGAAAGGCTTAAAGATAAGGACTATCATATAATTCATGTACTTTTCTTGTGGTGAAGATGTATAGCCATCTTTAGCCCAGAGCTTCTTAATACCTTACTGCTGTCTACAAAGTTAATATTCTTTGCATAATACATTTGATTGTTTTATTTCTTTTTATGACCTTAGTCCAGCCTTAAGAGTTCTATACAAGTACTTACTCTGAAAGTAACCACAGCAAATTAGAAGCAGCGATGCAGATTTCATGTAGAGGACTATGAGAAAAGAGGCAAGAAAAAACACTAGAAAACCAAAGCAGTCTGTAGCCATTTAAGAAAAGAACACAAAGCCATCCCTGCCTTAACATTTTTAAAGCTCTTTTTTGCAAATGTTAAGTTATATTACTGGTGGGACTTTTTACTTGATTAAGAAAATTCTCCTTGTGCTTTGGTCCCAACTCCTCACTGTTCAAGGAACTGACTCCATTAATTTTGCCACTCGAACCTGTGTCATCAACTTCTATAGTGGATCGTTAACTCAACATTTATGTTCTAATAAATCTCATCAAAAATAGCAAACTTTTTTTGAACATGATGTCCTTCTCTCGCTACCATCTCATTTCTCGGTCTCCTTTTGCAACCAAGCATCTTGACTATATTGCAGTCTCATTACAGTTTCTACATACATTCACTTCCCAGTACATTCCAATATGGCTTTTAGCCTGCTTGTCCACTAAAGCAGCTCTGTTCAGATCATCAGTTACCAGTATGTTGCCAGATTCTCTGCACCATTTTCTCTTTCACCTTTCTTGACTTCTCTTCTTTCAACAGAATTCATATACACCATTCTTTTAAATTCACTTTATCTGTTGGCTCCTTTGATACTGTACTGTCCTAGTTTTTCTCAGAAGAGTAGTCACTCTTCTGTCTCCTCTGCCGATGGATCCTACACTAACAAATTTCTTAAAAATAATGTGTTTTTCTACTGTGAAATGTACTATAAATATCAAGTCAAATTGGTTGATAGTGTTGTTCAAGTCTTCTACATCTTTACTGATTTTTTAATCTACTTGAACTATCAATTGCTGAGAGAAGACTGAAATTCTTAACTATACTTTTATAGTAGTCCATTTTCACACTGCTATCAAGAACTACCTGAGACTGAGTAATTTATGAAGAAAAGAGATTTAATTGACTTACCGTTCCACATGGCCATGGAGGCTTCAGGAAACTTACAAGTATAGCAGAAGGTGAAGGGGAAGCAAGGCACATCTTACTTGGCAGCAGGCGGGGTGGGGGGAGAGAGAGAGAGAGCGTGAGAGCAAGCGAGCAAGCATGTGAGCGAAGGGGGAAGTGCCATACACTTTTAAATTGTCATCACAAGAATAGCATGGGGGAAATTCGCCCCCATGATCCAGTCACCTCCCACCAGGTCCCTTCCCTGGGGACACAGAGCCAAACCATATTAACTTGTATAGGTAACTGTTTCTTCTTTCAGTTGTGTCTGTTTTTACTCCATGTATTTTGAAGCTCTGTTTTTGGGCAAATAAAAATTTAGTATTCTAAATTTTTTTTTTTTTTGAGACGGAGTTTCGCTCTTGTTACCCAGGCTGGAGTGCAGTGGCGCGATCTCGGCTCACCGCAACCTCCACCTCCTGGGTTCAGGCAATTCTCCTGCCTCAACCTCCTGAGTAGCTGGGATTACAGGCACGTGCCACCATGCCCAGCTAATTTTTTGTATTTTTAGTAGAGACAGGGTTTCACCATGTTGACCAAGATGGTCTCAATCTCTTGACCTTGTGATCCACCCACCTCAGCCTCCCAAAGTGCTGGGATTACAGGCTTGAGCCACTGTGCCAGCCTTCTAAATTTTTAAATTGCTAAACTGGTTGAATTGATATGTTTATGTTTATGAAGTATTCTTGTTTGATCATGTTGTTCAGTATCCTTACTGATTTTCTTTCTACTTATCAATTACTGAAATTTCCACTCAATCGCATCTAAACTAAGAATCATTATGTCTTCTTAATGAATCAACCCCTTTGTCATCATGAAATGAATCTTTCTGTCACTGGTGAGATTTTGTTTGAAATGTTTTCTCTGGTTTTATTATAGCCATTTCAGCTTTCTTATACTTAATGTTGATATGATATATATACATTATTTACTACTCTTAACCAAACATTTTACATTTAAAGTGTAGTTTTTGCAGTTAGCATGTTAGTCTTGTTCTTAACCAATCTAATAATCTCTTTTAATTGATTAGAAAATTTGCGTTTAATGTAATTATTAATATAACAACCATATGATTGGGTTTAAACCTAACATTTTGCTATTTGTTTTCTATTTGATCACTTTTTTGTTCCCATTTTACTTTTATTCTTTCTTCCTTTGGATTGAAGATTTTTAGCACCTTATTTTATCTTTACTGTTCATGTTTTCAAGATACATCTTTAGCTTAGTATAATCTCCCTTCAAATAATATTATACCACTTCACATACACCAGAAAAACCTTACAACCATATTCAGTCATGCATCCCATAATGACGTTTCAGTGAATTGCAGACCTCATATACAGCAGCGCTCCCATAAGATAATAATGGAGCTGAAAAATTCCTCTCACTACCTAATGACATCGTGGTGTCATCATGTAATGCATAAATCATATGTTTGTGGTGATGCTGATGTAAACAAAGCTACCACACTGCCAGTCCTTTAAAAGTGTAGGACATATGATTGTGTACAGTACTAAGTGTGACAACAATAAGTGACTGCAAGGCTGGTTTGTGTATTTTCAATACTTTACCTTTTATCATTATTTTAAAGTGTTCTACTTACTTAAGGAAGTGAACTGTAGAACAGCCTCAGACAGGTGCTTCAGGAGGTATTCCAGAAGAAGGCCTTGTTATCACAGGAAATGACAGCTCCATTCATGTCATTACCCTTGAAGACTTTCTAGATGTGGAGATGGAAGACAGTGACATTGATGATCCTGGCCCTCTGTAGGCATAGGCTACTGTGTGTGTTTGTGTCTTCATGTTTATAAAGTGAAAAGGTTACAGTAAGCTAAGGTTAATTTATTGAAGACAAAATTTGTAAACAAATTTAGTGTAGCCTAAGTGTACAGTGTTGGTTAAGTCTACAGTAGCGTATAGTAATGTCCCAGGCCTTCACGTTCACTCACCACTCACTCTCTGACTTACCCAGGGCAACTTCCCAGTTCCACAGGCTCCATTCACAGTAATTGCCTATACAGGTGTACCATTTTTAATATTTTCTATAGTATTTTGACTATACCTTAGTGCTATACGGGTTTATAGCATAGGAACAATTGGCTCTAACACATAGCCTAGATATGTAGTAGGCTGATACCATCTAGTTTGTGTAATTACACTCTGTGATGTTCT